GGAGAAGAAGAAGCAGAATCGGGCTGAAGAAGAAAGAGGAAAAGGAGAAAAAAATAGCTGATCCTTATCCAAATTCTTCCCTCTTTTAAGTCCCTGAACTTTGAAATTTCGATTATTAAGCCCCAAAACAATATTTTCTCACACTAAGGTCCTTAACTTAAATGCTTGGATTTCAGAAATTTTGGGATATTACACTGGGTTTAGGCATGTACAGTGCAGCAAATTCTGATTGCCCCTTGTTGCTGTCTTGGTGTGATTCTTCTTGTTGTTTTTGTGACTATATAAGGTGAGATTTTGTTTCAAAATTTTGAGAAACACTGCAGAATTTTAGGGATCTATCATAGTTTTGTCTATAGGGCTGTTTGTAGGATAAAATTTGGGTGCATTTAGTTGTCTTTGACCTACTGTTTTGGGTTATAATCAAATTGGAAAATAAAAAATTTGTGCTTCAAAAATTCTAACAGCATAACATTATAGTAGTTTATTGATTATAATTTTCTCTATAGATGTTGCATTATAGAGATTCTTGATTCTATAGAAAGCTAAGGGACAGGCCTATAATTTATTTGTTAAACGTTTAACCCAATTCAGTTATTATCAAATTGAAAACTTAGCTGCAATATTCAGTCTCGTAAAGTGATTGGAATTGGTAGCCTGAACTTGTGTTAGTTTTCTTATCATAACTTTTTCTGTAGATATTGGATTGATGTGATTCTTGAAGCAATGAAAAGCTAAGAGGTAGGACTACAATTCTACTTTGACCACTTAACTCAGTTCAATTCATTTTAAGTCACGAATTAAGCTAAAAATTCCTATCATAATTTAACGCCAGAACTTGCTCTCAAACCTTTCACTACAAGCAGATGCATTTATACCGACAGAAGTTTTCCGTTTGTATAGACCCATTTTCCGTTGGTATAGACCCCCAGGGACTATTCCAACGGACCAACTTTCAGTCGGTGGAAACCCCGTCAGTATAGGGTCTATACCAACGCCTAATCCATCTGTATAGACCCTTGGGGTTTATTCCGATGGAAGACCTGTCCGTTGGTATAGACCCTGAAAAATCTAAAAAAAAATTTCCGTTGGTATAGACCCTTAGCTTTACAAACGGATAATTCCATTAGTATAGATCCTTTTTTTTTTTTTTAACCAACCTTAAGAACAACAGTCTGGATCCAAACCAAAACCAAAATCGAAATAAGGTTCAATAAATTTGTCAAGAAAAGCTCTGCAATCCATTCTTTATTGGAACCACAAAACATAACTACCTTAAATCTTTTCATCAAAAAATATAAACCACACTAACCATTGCTGTCATCTGGGTACAAAAAGCAAGAATTTCAGCATAGATCTTTAAAAGAAATTGTAGATCTTTAATTACTGTCATCTAAGTACAACATCAGTATAGATCTTTAAAAGAAATTATACCTACCAATATTCTAAACACATATTCTTTATTTTCCATCAGTATACCAACAACTAACCTTAAAACAAAAGACATGGTCAACACATATAGCAGCTGCTGATGAGAAAGCATAGGAAAATGGTTCATAGAGGCTCTTCGTACCGTAGCTTCTTTAGCTACTTGAAGCCACCGTGGAGTTCCGAAATTTGCAGCTTCCCCAAAATTAAAACCTAATTTGGAACAAAAAAAGATTCTTAATGGAAAATTAAGAACAAGAGGAAGGGTGGAACAAAAGTGACTTATTTTAATGGGAAAATAAAGAGACATTCACACAAACTTTTGTACAATTTCCAAGTTCTAGTTTAGTTATTGATAAAAATGCAATGAGTATGCATACCTATTGGCTGTTAGAAGTTATAACACCATAGTATCCTTAAAATTCTAGCAGAAGGTAAAAAGTATAAAGAAAATGTAAGCAACTCATGTGGCTAAATCCTGCATGGTATGCCCTCAGGAAAGTCACAACAAATTCACCAACATTCTGTACTAACCTAAAGTGAAAAAACCAAAAGATACATGAGTAGAACTTCAAGATAGAAAATGAGTACAAGAAGCAAATGCCTTGCACTCCATTCTATATGGGGCAATAAATTTTGGCATAGCTGTGCATTTTGAAACCCTTAATGGAACATAAAAAAAGGTATCCTAGTATCATAAAAAAATAATAACAGCAAGAAGTAAATAAAGTAAAACGAGCATTTACTTTTTTGGATGCCAAGCAATTTTTGCAAACATGAACCCTATAAAGGCACCTTAATTATAAAACACTTGAAAGGCATGAAATATATATAGAAAAATATCTGAAGATATTTAAGATGTTTATAAGGTAAAAGCTAAGATGCCAGCAAAAATTGTTTCAAGTTCTTCCCAAATTCAGGTCAATTTTTTTTTAACGTTCCACAAGATAGCATACCAACTGTGTATTCTAATTTATCAATCTATATAAAAAATTTCATTCAATTTTAGTTTGACAAAATTCTTCAATGGAAAAATAGGAGAAATCACAAAACTAGTTAAATATAGCCTAGAGGGCATAACCTTCCTTTCCCCACAAAACAAATAATGAGTTTGATCAAGGTCAAGGTTTAACATATTTGGGAGCTTCACTCATTTAAGAATTTTAATTGGGGGAGAATGTTTCCTGCATCAGAAAAACATTCAAATATGCAAAAAACACCCTAGCAACATAGACTAAACTGCTTAAATAGTTGAAACTTTTACCTATCCCAGCTCATCATGACGCAATATATGTTGCAATTCGGTGCAGGGCAAGAAGGTTACTGTCAGTAATCAGCATTTTTTGTCAGGCCTAGCTAGAATCTAATACTGTGCTTCACTTCTGAATAAGTACACAGTCCAGGGTACACTAGGATATCTTAAAAAATGAAAATAGTGAAATACAAGTTACCCTCTAATTTCAACAAGGTCACCAGTAAGTAGTTCATAGCTGAGAGAGTAGTAGAAGTAAAGCCTAGCAGCTAGAACATCAACAGTCCTCCTATTCACGTTCTTCAGCCGAACAATGCTTGCAGAGGTGCAAGCTTTTGCTTAAAACAACGATTGCTATGTTACTTATGTAATAGACACAGAAAAAGATCCTTGATGAAACAATATTTGTTCACTCACCTCATTGTACTTCTTTTGATCAATTAGCAATATCAAGACAAGCAAGTAGTAGTAGATTTCCAGCTCCGGTAATGGATGTTTTGCAAAAGCTTGAAGTGAAGAGGCAGCAGTATCAACTTCCATATCATGCTCATCTTCGTATCACCAATGTTGAGCAATGCAATGTTGGAGAATGTAATCCACACAAGTTTCCAAATTGATGAACACGCATCATAACAACTGCTACAACCTTACACTTTCAAAATAATCACTTGTCTCAACATGAATCGCTCAATAAAGAAAGCCTGAAGCTTTACCTTTGGAAGAGAAGAAGACAGCTTACTATGCGCCTCAGATCCCGAAGGAAGAGTGAAATTGAGGAAAGCAGAGAGAATGGGAGCCTTCAGTTTCCGCTGGATCGCCATGGTAAGCCTCACGGCTTGCACAATTCGCCTAATTTCACCAATTATCACCACACTGTTTCACTACATAACCCTAGGATTATGCTCAAAACGCATTACATTAACCAGACTAGATCTAGGGTTGAAAGGAAGCTACCAGATTTTGAAGCACAAGGAATGAGAAGTTCAGCGGTTGCGCCAGAGAAAGAGGCCCGCCAAATCGAGCATCGGAGATCCAGAACCGCCAACATCGAATCTGTCCTCCAGGCACACACTAGTCGGCTCCACCAAAGGGTCGATCGGAGTCTGAAACATGGATCCAAGGTCCCCAGTGCTAGA